GACTGGTTCCGAATAGGCTATCTCTCAATGACGAGGCCTTCATATGGGGCTCGGCGGATTTGCCAAATGTCAACGATGTGACCTTGGCTTAGAAGAAACGGCTTCTCACGCCTTCTACCATTGTCGTCGGGTCCGCCCACTATGGGACCATGTCAGTGAATTGACGGCTTGTAACGCTCACGAAAAGGTCGTGCTCATTGATCGTGCGTACGCGTGTGACAATGTGTTGCCCCCGTATTCTGGGCTGAAACGGTTGCTGGCTACGGTCCGAATAGGGATCTGGACGACGCGATAGGAGGAAGTCTTGCACGGCAACCATTTTTCTCATCAGGAACTGAGCCGAATTTTTTAGCACCAGCTCAAAATGAAGATTAGAACTGATAGAAAACGGCTAGTTTCAACAGATTTTAGCGAAAGATGGATGACTAAGGCGAGCTTGGTTCGTGTGAACGGGGCTAGTCTTGATTTTCATTTTAGGTCCACCTAAGTTACAACGTGGGGGTTTCCTGGTTAGGTTAAACTATTTTTTGCGTACCTAGTTAATGTTAATAAGTATTGTTCCCGGCCTGTTCCCGGTTGCATTTTTGATTATGATCCAAATTGAGATTTCCAACTTCCCCAGTTTGTTTTGGCCTCTGTTTTCTTTTAGATTGAGTTAGGTTTCTTCTTTCCCCATAGCCGTATTTATTTTACCCTTTCCCTCTCCCTTAGCGAGACAGCTTCTTGATTCTATCTAAAGGCAGAATACAGCCGCCTCTCTTTTTGAGGGTTGGACTGGTCCAACTAACATCAGTTATCTTTATTTTGTTTGTTTTGATATTTTAGTTTTGTTTTTTGGTTAATCTCATTCCCTCTCATTTTATATCATGTACAAATTTTTATGTATATTATTTCATAATCATGAAATTTTTATGTCATGAGGTACTCCCCCTGCGAGTATGCGATATTATTGTATATGAAGGATTGATTGGTGATGGATGAGTTTTTGTGGTGAAATCGGATAAGCTAGGTATAGGATAATAACTGACGATCAGCTTCAACGCAATTCCCCCTTTTCGGCCTGGTGCTACAATTGTGTGTATTTCATATAATAAATCTACACTGTTCACTCTTGGAGTCACTGTGGTTTTCCAGTTCCCGGTAAATTCCTTCTTTTTTTTTTTTTTTGCAGACCGCTAACGACCGGCGATTATCACCAGACGTCTTTTCTGCTACTCTTTCACCTTTTTAATTTACATTTTCTTACGTTTTTTTTTTTTTTACTGACTGTTTTTGCCAAAAGTTTGATTTGTTTTCTTTTTTATTTTTTACCCTTCCCTGTTTTTCTTACTTTATCTCTTGCTGCCCTTATTCTTTTATTATTACTTTTTATTTTTCTCTTATTTTATAGTTATTTTTTAATATATTTTCTTTCCCTTTTATTTTTCTGTAACCCACCCCGCAAGCTTTATTTTTTCTTTGTTTATTTATTCTACGTCTGACTTTATTTTCTTTGTTTATTTATTATTTCTACATGTTACTTCGTTCTTTGATTTTTTTTAAATATCTGTTTAAATCCTCTGTCTTTTATTTGTTAAATCGTGTATGTATTTGTATTTTCTAACTTTTCGTACTTATTTTGTCTAATCTGTCCGTTTTTTCTTAATTTTATTTTTCGTGTTTCGTTCGTTTTGGGTATGACTAGTTTTTAACGGCGGCCATCTTGTATATGCAAAATTTGCTATTTTTACGTATTTCTTGTTTCGTATTTATTTTTGTAGAATATCGTTTTATTATTGCGTAATCGTTTTTATTCAACATTACGAAGTTCTTGGCGAAGCCATCAGCAGTCAAGACTTAATTACAAGAGACCTTATTTTGAGGAATGAATATCAGGACAAGCGTAGGACTACCTTTCAGTATATGAGGTCCCTCCTCGAATTGTCGGGGAACACTTGGCCGCTTATCTGTGCTCTGACGATCTGACCGGGGGATAGAGTTTCGAGATAATGATAGATTGCAAGGCTTTCGTCCCCACCCGCACTGCCTAGATGAAAAGGGCCAGAAAATACGTACTGTTGTCACAGGCCGAAACTAACTTGCTGGATGTGCGCAGAGACTGATCACCTTTCCTCTTCCTGCCCAGAGAAGAAGACCTCTTGAGTTCTGGCCCACGCCGACCCAGATCTCTCTCTAGCTGCGTCTGTTGTTTCCGTCTCGTCTGTAATGGGCATGACTGCAGCTGGGACCGCTGTGGTGAAACCCCCGGTTTGGTTCGTCTCACGGCCCCCATTCTTCGAAAAGCTTTTACCATCACAAGTGGCGACGATGATTCGGAAGAAATCATAAAAGGCTTTCAGGCCTTCATTCAAAACATCGAAATAATTTTCAATTTTCATCACCATTCTATCCATTTCCCCCAGGGCCTTCAGTAAAAAAAAAAAAAATTATACTATCAATATGTTTCACGGTACAGAAAAGTTACTTTGTATTGTAAGACCTACACTTTTACCCTACAATTGCTAACCTTATCGCTATGGCCGAATAACTCACTTTTTGTCTCGTCAGAGCATGGAATAGAACCCCCTCTTAAAAAAAACATTTAGGCTTCTTCAGGAAGTCCCTGTCAAACTTTAAACGAGCATTTAAGCGCTTCTTCAGTAATGTCGTCTTTCGATACAGCACACGCCTTCAAACCACCTTCTATTGAGAGATCACATAGTCATTAATCGAGCAACACAGACTACATTGCTGACTAATTGGCTTCCATTGCTATGGTTGTCATTTTTGTTCACTTGTCTCATTCGCATCACTATGTCTCGCTCTAAAATATCATCTTCCCACCACAACCATTCTTGCTCCTCACGATATTTTAACATGATGCTCTGAACGGTTGATTTGAGGATATTTAAATGCTTGGATATCGTCTTATATTTATTTTATGCACCATAAGTATTTTAGTTTTAATCATCTCACCTCGAGCCACGCGATAATGCCACTAGGACGCAGAAGGCGTGAAAGAAAATGAGAAATCTTTAGTGAGGAAAAGTTAGAAGGACAATAAAAGAATGGATATCAGGATGAAAGAAGATGGCGATTGACATGATATTTAAGTTTTTGAAGATTGTAATTAGCATCGGAAGGAAATCCCACATGTTAGAAATGCGAGAAAGTAAACTGTTAGGATAGAAGAGACGGTTTCATCTAGATGAATGAACACGTTATTCCCATAGTGCGACAAGTAAAATATCTAGGAATAATACTAGATAGCAAACTTGACTTCAAAGCACACATTGATTACCTTAAGCAAAAATGCCAAAAGGCTTTGAAGCTTCTAAATTAATATCAAAACTGGATTGGAGTGCTGACCAAAAAGTAATATTCAGAATATATAGGACACATATCAATCAAAATTAGACTATGGATGCATTATTTACAGTGCTGCACGTAAGTCCTATCTTGAAAAAAAAAAAAAACTATGCAAAATCAAGGACTGAGATGATGTATCGAAGCTTTCTGGACTTCACCCATACAAAGTCTCTATATAGAAGACAATGAAGCATCATTATCTCTTAGATGGGAAAAATTATCCCTACAATAAGCACTAGAATTGCAATCTAACCCAAATAACCCAGCATACCAAAAAACATATGAACCTCAATATACTCAGTTCTATAGAAATAAACCAACAGTCATCCCTTCATTTGGTCTTCGAGTCCAATAAACAGTAGAACAAATAAACAAAGATCTTTATAATGTTACACCAGTCACAATAAATAAGGTACCTCTATGGACAACCTCCAAACCTCACACAGACCTTACATGTTTTTATGTGTCAATCAATAAAGCATATATATTTTAAATTAAGAGACAAATATCGTGTCTATAGCCCATTCTACACGGATGAATAAAAAAAATCCTAGATAGAATAGGTACAGCAGCCACAAACAGGCAAATTCACAAACAAACCAGGCTATCAAATGATGCATCCATTTATACAGCGAACTAGAAGCCATAAACATGGCACTTAAAATGATGGATTCTCAAACTCCCTATGTAGTTTAACAACAATTAAAGAAAATAACAGATATGATCCCTGTATTCAATAAATCCTAGAAGCTTGTCGTCATAAAGCACAAAACAATAATATTGGCTTGGATTCTTAGCCATATGAGCATCAAGGGAAATCATGAAGCGGAGACTCTGAGAAAAGACGCAACGAAAATGAAAATAACCAACATTAAACTCCCATATCCAGATTATAAAAACAAAATTACAACACATCAAGAGAAAATGGCAAGCAATTTGGGACACGTTCCCAAACAATAAACTATATGAACAACAGCCGACAATAAGAAAGAATATAGAGATATTAGCTGATCACAGACATACATAGTGCTCAACAGAATAAGAATTGGACACACACACTTGACACACACATACATGCTCAAGGCAGAAACTACACTTCAGTGTACTGAGTGCAACCAATTTCTCACAGTCATCCATTCACTCAAACTAGTTAATTAGTTTACTTGCTGTTTCAACCTGCCCCTCTCGCCTCCTCAGTATGTTCTGTGTATGTTAAATTTTCCAAACACCTTATCTTCAATGTGTCCCCAAAATGTCACCTGCCTTTTGTTTGTTTGCATTATTTTCTTTGCAATTTCAATTCTCCTTAAAACTTTTCTTTTGCTCACATGTTCTGTCCACTGCAGTTATCGGTAAAATCCCATCTCTCTTTTCTTAAGTCTCTTCTGATGTGAGGAGATTGTTTAGCATTCACTGCCATATAAGAGATTAGATAATTGCACACCATTTCAGTAGTATTCAAAATGGAACTATTGAAATTTTACTTCGGGAATGAAATTTGAGCAGATTATAATATTCCATCTGGTTATTATATTTTTCCGCCATTTAGAATAGGTAAATTATTATTCAAGATGGGCGGTTCGACAACGGTTATCAGTTTAAAATGTGGAATTGGCGAGCCAAGTTCAAATTCCGGCCTAATCTGTTTCAGCTTACGAACATATCACGTTGAAACACGGGTTTTCAGAGGATCACCGAAGTTAAGCAACGTCGAGACTGGTTAGTACCTATATGAGTAACCGCTTGGAAATACCGGGTGCTGTAAGCTTGGTTGTGTGTATAATAACGGCTCAGAATTGGTAATCAGAGAGATGAGTTTCATTTCCAGTCATGTTCTTTATATTCATTTATGTGCAAATCCACTTCCTCTCCCCCAACTATGGGTTAATTTGTAGGACTTGACATTATTTTCTTTAATTATTACAATCTAAAAAAAAATCTGGCTTTAAATAAACTGTAAAAATTGGATAAGCCGTAAAACAAAAACCAATCATTCTAGTCTGTTCTGTTCACTTAAATGCCCTTCGGAAAGTCATGAAACCATTCTACCCCCAACTCTGATATGGAATAAATAACTGGGTAGAGTGGCCTCTTCAGCTTTTAACCACTCTAAGAAAATAACTAGAATGCAAGAACTGTATTTTAGGCAACGAGAAACCAGTCCACCATCTTGGCAATTCACAGATAATGAAGAAAAGGAATCTGTAGAGAGCAATGTCGTGATGTGTAATCCATTTTTTTCAAATTGTTTATCAAATAGAATAAACCAATTAGAGATCACTGAATTAACAATGTTCAAATGAAGTAATTTATCGCTTGCGATAATGAAATTAACAAATTACTAGCTGTTCTATATATAATTAAAATATTACTCATTTGATAATGTTTTTGTCTTAGTTTCTCAAATTTGCTTTCTTTTCCTTGCTTTCATTTTCATTTTGTTCCCTCGATCTCTTGAAATGCGAAAATAGTTAATATTTAATTATGTTGCAATATAGCGTTACAAGTCGAAACAAGATTTCCAGTTTAAAACCTCTTATCAAAATAAATAATGCTTGCTTGTAAGAAATCCGTGTTTATTTTTACTTCTCAACTTTCCTGTATTGAAGCGATGTTGTCAATGAAGATAACGGTGTAAAAGGCATTGAATGAAAAATCTTTTATTTTTCTAGTTGTTGTTGCTTACATGTTTCAGACAGCTTCTGGTTGACAGCATATACACACATATGCCAATACGCTTGTATAAATCTCCTTTCAGGCTCTATATACTTCTCAGCAAAAAATATATATATATATATATATATATATATATATATATATATATATATATATATATATATATATATATATATATATATATACTTACAGAAATCACTTTTCTGAATTGATATCAGCATAAGTGCCAGGAAAACAGGTAGAAAACCTTAAGGTAGCATCAAAGTTTTGTTTATAATCTTGTAAAATCCGTTATATTATTATAAATCCAACTGTAACAAATATATCATATATATGAAGCCTAACAATTTAATTTCTCGAATGACAGCAACATGACCCAAACATCTGAGTAAGTCCAGATATGTTCCAAAACCGTCTTCTTGAGACGCAAAACAAATAAGTCATTAGTTGCTGGGAATGTACCTGTTATACTGTTGTCGGAAACGGTACTTCTTCATGTTATATTGTTGGCTAAAAATGAAAAAAATGAGTGAAAGTTATCTGGAGCAGAGAATTGGCATCAAGTTTTGAATTTAAAACCAGCCTGAAGAGGGATAGACTCATTAAGACTATTTTGCCCTAGACACATCCGCTGCTGCTACAGCTGCAGTACATGTGATTCCCCTGCAACCCTTAGGGGTTATTAATACGCTAAAGATCATATGTATCATTCAGTTGATAGATATTCACCTGGTATCGACTGCACTGGATTCGTGTGTGATTTCAATGTCGCTTGTCTGTTACCATAGACAATGCTAGCCAGACGCCTCTGGCCATGATCCATGGTCAAACACTACACTGTCTACGGTAGATCGTAATGCCATCCATGTGGTATTCTCGGTAAACACATGATACTGTTGATGTTTCAATAATTTTAGAAATGGCGAGTTCCATTTACTTGACATCCGCTATCATGGCCAGCTCGAACTACGATAATTTACTTGCCATGACCAGCCTAGCCAGTGTTCACACTAACTCACTAGATATCAGAACACAAATGATATAGTTCCGAGAATTTCCATGGCGCTATAGTACGATGTCACTATCTACCAATACCTATACATATAGCTATCCCGTTTCGTTTTTGAATGTCATTATATAAATAGATGTTATGTATCAAAGTTACTGCTTTTATTATTCTCTTTCAGATAACTTCATCGCAATCTAACCAACAATTTGAATTATGTGCCCGTCCAAGCCTAGATTAAAGAACATTTATTTTTAAGTCAGTGCATGTTTACTCTCATTCCGAACATTTTTACAAGATAGATTGGGTTGGATAAAATGTCACTAATAAGATATAGCCGGAAGTAGGAAAAAGGTACAAAAAGGCTAGTTTCTTAAACTGACAAAAATTAGAGACAATTAGAGACATATATCTTCTTTCTTTGCTTGAATAACTGCGGTCATGCAACGTGCCTTGAGTCTACTAGTTTTTACAATCGTCGTGTCGATATATTAATCAGGGAATATCCCAGAGTTGTCTATAACGTAGTTTTATTTGTTGCGTGTAGCAGCAGGGAATTTATTGAGGCATAAAACATGTCCCATACATGCTCAATGGCAAGAAGAGGAAATAAAGAAATATCTAGACATGCGTAGTGTTGCTGGAAGCAGTTTCGTCTCCCAACTGCTTGCATTATCTTCTTGAAACACACACTCACTACCAGAAAGTATTGCAACACAACGTGGTGCAAATAGTTTGGGTATATAAAACCCGTCCAGACAGACTGGATTTTCATGAGTACTCATTAGAATTCCAACAGAGTCGCAACGTATGCAACACTCTGCTGACAAGCTGGAACCATAGCCTCATGCGATTTCTTCCACACACGAACATCAGAGCTTGAAACATTATTCATTTAACCAGACAACACGACGCCTGCTTTCTACAATCCAATAAAAATATTTTCTAGCTTGAGATACATCCTGTTGGCTGGGCTGTAGAATACGCAGACTGAACCTCTGCAGAGGGTTAAGACCCACTTGTTTGCCGTGGGTGGCGATCCGTAATGCCTGAGGACGGAAACCTGGAGGCTGAGCAGTTCATGACCCGGGTATATAAATGTTCATGTGACTGACAACACTCCTCTTTGGTCTTTACTTTGGCTAGATGGGTGGATCGGGATCGGATCAACTGACTGTTCATGCCAAGCCGTATCTCCTATAAAAGTAAGCTTGACATTGTCTCACAAACTGATCACATAACGATCAAACACCTTTCCCTTTATTATTGTAAAATTGCGAGAAGGCGATGGCTGAGGGTCAAACGAGTCGAAGAGATAAACTCTGTTTCAAATTAAGGCGTCAGATTTTTAGATACTGAAGCTCAAAATTAACAGGAGCTCAATCCTCTCTCGACGAGAGTATATTCGTAGATGTATCCCCATCACAACCAAGGCGAATGGGTTTAATCCCCTTGGTAAATTCTCAATAGTAATTGAACTCCATGGTGGGTGGTGGACCAATGATAAAAAATCAAATGGCAAACATCAATAAACAAAAACAGAAAGTAATCTCTCTGACTCTGATTCAGACAAAGAAGCCGGAACAGATTTCCAAAGATTCACAGTGATTGAATTTCTAGGGATAACTCCTCTGGCTAACATGTCAACATTCTTGATTGAAAAAGTAATCGATAGCAGAGCAATTTCATGAACAGTAAAAAAAATATGAGAATTGGCAATTTACTTGTGGACGGCAATAATAAAAAAAAAACACGTTGATAATTTATTAAAAATGAAGGCTTTTTCATAATTTAAAGTGTAAAGCGTATCCATACGAATGAATGAATACCTCAAAGATAGTTGTCAGAAATAGGGACCTGTCCCTGACTACGCTAGAAGATGTAGATACAACCTTGGAAAAGCAAGGGTTTACTAACTCTATGATAAGTATAAAAAGTGGAAATCAACAAATCCTAACACATATATAACTTCAATTTAATAAACCCTAAATCCCAAAAGGAATAAAAATCAATTTTACGATTGAGACGGTCAAACAATACATACCCAATACCTTGCGGGTGTTACAAGTGTCAGAAATATGTGCATCATAAGGAGAGATGAAGAGAACACTCGGTATGTGCGAAATGTTGTCAAAAAAACCCAGGTCGTATGGAGGAAGAGTGTACTCTTGTCAAGAAAGCCATCCAGACTTTGCGAGATTTTGCTACATATATAAAAGAGAGAAAGAAAACTTGGAGGTCAAGCATAGAAGAGAAGTATCTTTCCCAGAAACAAGGAAAATAATTTTTAATCAAGTTCATCTCAAGCAAGAGTTTAAAGACACTGAAACACAAGGGGTTATTGGGCGTGGAAGAACTAGAAAGCCGAAACACCACTAAGGAGTGAGTACAGAAGAAGTGTAATCAGGAGGGCAGTAGATAGCGATTAACATTAAATTTCAATTTATGAAGATTAAAGTTGACTAGAATGCATGGAACTAGAAGAGAATTCCACAAGGGAATGGTGAGAGAAAAGAAACTGCTAGCATAGAAATTACGGTTACACCTCGCCAACTCAACTGTATATCGATGATATCTTGTTGCCAGTCTAGTACTGCGTTTATATTCCCAAAGTCCATAGCGAAGAGCTCACCCGAAATACTACCATGAAAATATTTATAGGAAAGACATAGGAGGCAACTTTACTACGGTGGTTGATTACTATACAAAAAGCCATACCAATGTCAACGTGATTCAGAAGATGAACCCAGTTGGCAGAAATAAGAAAACATACAAACATAGACCACTCATCGAGCAATGATGCAACTAGGACCAAATGACTAGCCAAAGTACCAAGAACTTCTAAAAAGTGCATGTACGGCTGAAAGCTGCCAAACAGAAATAGTAAATAAAATGCAAGGATCCATTAAAAACCTACCTGCTGTGACTCAGGTGCCGCTTGTACAAAACACAATATCTCCACTTAAAGCAAACACCAGCAGACAAAAATCACAAAAACCATCAATCCGTCAACCACAATAGACATCTCTGGAAAGTCCCCCACAAAAAATGACCAACCAACAAAAAATCACTTCTGACACCCAC